AAAAACCAAAAAAAGAAAAAATAAAAGAAAAGTTAAAGACGTGGAGAAGGGATGGCTCAACAGAGAAGAGCACTCACTGCTCTTGCAGGATCTGAGTCCAGTTCCCACACAGTGGCTCCCAGCTATCTGTAACTCTAGTTCCTGAGACTCCAACTCCCTCTTCTGGCTTCTGCAGGCAACAGGCATATAAGTTTTAAAAACATAAAAGGAAAAGATGATTATTAGAAAATAAAGAAGCTGGGTATGGTGGTGTATACCTGTAATCACAGTACTTAGGAAGCAAGATGATCACAAGTTCAAAGCCAGCCTGAGCTATACAGCCAGACCCTGCATTGAAAGAGACAAACAGACAAAAAGATGAATGCACTGGAGAAATACAAAACAAAACCACAAAGAAATAACCCATACATTCATGAGAGGAACTAAAGTAAAACAGAAACAGGCATTGGTGCACACTGACATAGATATATGGCAGACTGTGTACTTAGCATGAGTGAGGGCCTAGGTTCAAAACCTAGCATCAGAAAAAAAATGCTAAGTGTTGATGAGAGTGTATTGAAAAATACACTGTGCATTCCAGTAAGGATGCAGGATGCTACCATCACTTTGGAAACCAGTCTGGCAGATTCTTAAAGAGCCAAGTATATTACATGATCCAATCTTTCCATTCACTCCTAGGTGAATCTTTACTAACAAAAATCTATTTTACACAAACATACCCATAAATGTTATGTTATTTATGATAGATAAAAACTGGAAACTACCCAATATATGTCAACTAATGAACAGTACACAAAAAAAAAAATCTGTGCAGTGGAATATTCATGATTAAAAAGAACAAATTCTTTGTATGTACTATAACATTTAGTTACCTTAAAAATGCCATGTGGAAGAAACTAAACAGAAATGGCTATGAGCTGTATGGGTCCATTTATGTGAAATGCTTCAAGAAGCAAATCATAGAGAATGAAAACGGATCGGCATTTGCCTGGCTTAGGATGGAAGCGAGAATCCGCTGCAAGTGAAACCAAGAGGATGCAAGCCTCCCGACGGTGACTGCGGTGGTGACCACACAGCTAGACGTGTACGATGCTTGGATTCTGGCTGTTTAAACTACACCTGCAGAAGGTGTTCTTACAGTGTCCAAATGACATCTAAAAGATCATTAGCAGTTAGGAAAAATAAAACTAAGACCCTAGGATGGACAGAAGTTCTGACTATACCAAATCAGGGAGAGTTTCTGCACTTGGATGGTGGGAGTATGAGCCAGCACAGCACTGTAGAGGACCACTGGTCCTGACTGTGTGAGGTTATCCGTGCGCACACTGTGCAACCACCTAACCACTCCAGGGCAGACACTCGGGCCAGCGGCCACACAGAAAATCCGTCGGGCTTCACATACCACATGGTCTCTGCCACAACTAATTAAACTCTGCCCAAATGTCACAAGACAACCACACACAAAATGTAAACAAATGAGCTTAGCCATAAAACTTTATTTACACAAACAGGCAGTGAGCTGAATTTAACTCCTGGGCGTTGGTTCTACAATCCCTGCCCCAGATAAAAACTGCCCTATGTTATCCAGCAGCTGTGTATAAAAATTTTCACAGGACTTATTCATACCAGTGACAAATGAGAAACAACTCAATTAGTAATAAAAGAAGTGAATTGTGACATGTTTTCAAAATTAAATATAATACAGCAATAAAAATTATGGTCTTGCAATCTGAAGCAACATGAAAAAAAAACTTAGAAATAACATTAAATGAGAAAAGCAATTTATGAAGGAGACATAAGATATGAATCTTAATCACAAATATATGGTTTTTAAAGTTCAAAAATAAGCAAAATGAAAACTGTATTCCTCTTATGTAACTAAAGGAAACCCCAGAGAACAGTAAAAATCTGGAATGTAGGTAAGCTATTTTAACTAAAAGGGCCCAAAAGATTTTTAAAATGACCAAACGAAGGAGAAGGGGAGGGTTGGGGAGAACTTGAGGGAATGGGATAGTTAAGATGGAAGAAGGACAGATATGAGAACAAGGAAAGAGATATCGTGATTGAGGGAGCCTTTTTGGGGTTAGTGAGAAACCTGGCTCTAGAGAAATTCCCAGGAATCCACAAGGATGATCCCAGCTACTACCCTAAGCAATAGAGAGGGTGCCTGAACTGACCTTGCCCTGTAGTCAGACTGATGATTATCTTAAATATCACCATAGAACCTTTATCCAACATCAGACGGAAACAGAGGAAGAGACCCACATCAGAGCACTGCACTGAGCTCCCAAGGTCCAGTCGAAGAGTGGAAGGAGTGAGATTATGAGCAAGGAGGTCAAGAACATGAGGGCTTCACCCACTGAGACAATGTGCCTGAGCTAATGGAGGCTCACCAACTCCAACTGGACTGGGAATGAATGAGCATGGGATCAAACTAATCCCTCTGAATGTGGTTGACAGTTGGGGCCGACTGTGTAGCCAATGACAACAGCACTGGGATTTGTCTCTACTGCATATACTGTGCTGCGGCAGTACCTTCCACTGCTTCAGCCAATAGTCGCTGAAGCACGAGCCCACAGTGATGCGGAGCGCCTTCCGCTCCATCAGCCAATAGCCGCTGAAATACCAGCCCACTGGGGTGTGGTATATTTCTCTTTAAAAGAAGAGTGGCAAGCCTCGGCTCGGCCTCTTGTTCCAGTGCTTGGTTCCGGCTCCTGCTCCAGCGACTAGGCTCCTTTCCTGACGATTTATGTGCATGTAAGTTTACCCCCCAAAATAAATACCCCTTTAAAACATAACTGGTGTGGGATTGATTCGCCATTAATACTGGCTTTTTGGGATCCTATTCTCTTTGGATGTATACTTTGCTCAACCTAGATGTGGTGGGGAGGGCCTTGGATTTTCCACAGAGCAGGGTACCTTGCCCTCTCTTAAGACTGGAGGGGGGTGGGGGAGAGGGTGTGTGGAGGGAGTGGGAGGGGAGGGGAAGGAGGGAAGTAAAAATTCAGATTGGGATTTTTTTAAAGTAAAAAAAAATGGGATACAGTCATAAACAGAGAATTCTCAACAGAAGAATCTCAAGTGGATGAGAAAGACTTAAATAAATGTTCAACATCCTTGGCCATCAGGAAAAGAAAAATGTGTTAATAATCAGCATTATAAGCCAGCTAGATGGATCATACCAAAACACCCAAAGGCTTATAACTTCACTTGAATTCAAACAGAATTAGTGAAGTGAATGAAAGTGACCAGGTGGGGAAATCACTACAATATTCGAAGATGAAACACATGCAGCTGCTAATCGTCTTCACATTCACTTTTTTCTCTACGTAAACTCAAACCTAAATCAGTCCCATAGTCCTTAACTGCCCTGGTCCTGTCTCACCTCAAAATGACTGTGCAAAGAGTAATTGTGGCACCATCTGGTGGCAACATATGCAACAACAAGCCCTTCAGTTAGCTTATTCATTCATCAACTATTTATTTAATAGGCACCTACTAGCCACAGCAGTATTTAAACCTCTCTAGGAATATAGAAAATAAAATATTCCCTAAAACAGGATTCCTATCTTTAAGAAAAACATTACAGTTAAATTATGATTATGAGAACTATGAGAAAACACTGTGGATGTAGCTCAGTGAACCAGACATTGCATAACATGCTTGAGGCCCTGTGTTTGATACCCAGAAACACATACATACATGTATGTACACACGCACACACAATGTATCTGCTCTTAGAAGTTTGCTTCTAAAAATTTCAGGCAAGTTCTCAGGAGTTACTGATAAGCAGCCTACGGGTGCCACACCCACACACAACAATGCAACTTTCAAGGATAAGAGACACAGTGATCCTGAAGTGCCCTCAGCTTCTTGAAACGTCATTCAAAAGGCAGAGTCTAAATTTCCTTTCCCTGACCCTGAGCTGGGCTTACAGTTCTCACAATGAAGAGAATCTGTCATGAGCAGTGGTGTAATCACCAAGGACAACACCATTTCCAGCTTGCTGGCTTTTGTATTACTCACCCTGTGTGAAGTCAGCCGGCATGACAAGAGAAGATAAGGCAGACTATGAAGACCCCACTTAGGGAAGAATTGAAGGGGAAACAAAACAAAACAAAACAAAACAAAAAAAAAAACAGCACCAGCCTGCCAATGAGTGAGCCCCTAGGAGTGAGCTCCTCTGGGCATCTTGGGCTGTGGCTGACTGCAGGCACTGCCAACATCACTAAGCTCAGACACTCCCAAAGGCACTGTTAATTGTTGCTTTGTGCCACTTGACTTGAATATAATTATTATGCAACATAAAATAATACAGTAAGTTATTGCTTCCTAGAATCAAATGCTATCAATAGCAAGAAACAAAAATAGCTCACTATAGTTTAATATATTATTTGCTAAAATATTATCAAAATTGGCTCGTACTATAAATCTGCTAAGTAGTGATCCTATTTTAAATTCCCTCAAATTGTTTCCTAATACTACTTCACAATATTGTGGTTGCATGCATGCATGTGTTTTCCTGCGCGCGTGTGCATGTGCAGGTGTGTGAGCATGTGATCATCACTTGGCATCCTCCTCTACTCTTCTCCATCCTGTGCTTTGAGACAGACTCGGCTCCTCTCCACTGCACTGGCTTCACAGACATACACCACTACCTGGCTTTTACACGGGTGCTGTGATCCAGACTCAGGCCCTCATGACTATAAGGCAAGCATAAGGACTCTGCCCACTCAGCCACCTCCTCAGACCCCAATACTCATCACTTTCTAAAGCAATTCAAAGAATCAAAAACTGGGACACATCTAGTCAGTCAGCAATGATCTGTTTAATGCCTCTGTTTAGAAAATAACTATACTGATACTGGCTAGAGGACTATGCAGCAAAGTACTTAGGACTTAATTCACATTCATTTGCATGAGGTAATTTATGGGTTTTTTTTTTAACTAAACATTCCTCCTAGTGCTGATAGTTATAGAAGAAAGTATGGGTTCCGATACCTCTGTGAGAGATCCACAAGCCACACCACCATGCAGGGCTTCATCCAAAGCAGAAAGGGTAGTAGATAGGAACGCTGGGGAGGGACCAGCAGACCTCCGCATCTTTATCTCATAAGCCTAAAAAAGAAAATCATTAAGTTACATTCAGCTACTACAAACCAACTCTGTAACCAGCTATTACAAACCAACTCTGTAACCATAATTCAGCTTTCCTTCCTCTACTATTCATTTGACTAGTGAATATTTACCCAGTGCCGATGACCATGTGATAGTATAAGGATGGACTATAACAAACAGCTACCATGCTCACAGTCTTACTGCAAAACAAGGACTATGGGATTCAAACACTAGGTGACAACATTGCTAACTTACAAACGTATTAGACTTACAAACTAATTATACCTAACTCAGACATGGTGGTCTAGAGGGCTTCACTGAAGAGCTAGGTATCTGTGTAAAACTCTGAATCCACTGTTAAATGAGGAAAGGAAGAACATTCCTGCCAAAGAGGCAAGGATGCGCACAGAAAGACCAAGAAGTGGGAAAGAAGCAGAAACTAATGGAAGCTGAAAACCATGATAATTAAACAGATTCACTTAGGATGGCTGGAAAATAGACTGTGGTAGCAGGGCAGCTTGTGAAAAGGCTGGAGAAGCAAGCTGGAGAAGCAAGCAGGAGCTTCCCATCAGGAGCTCTGGGGGGAGGCAACATGTCATGGGGTCATCTCAAACTCAGGTTGTTTGTGAAGTACAACTTGAAGGAGGCTGGAGAGATGGGTGAGAAATGGCCCCTAAAAGATACCCACACCAAGTCCTTGGAGTTTGTCTGTGAATGTGACTATATTTGGAGAAAGGGTCTCTGCAGATGTGAATAACTTAAAGACTTTGTGATGAGGAGACAATCCCGGATTATATATGGACCACAAATGCCAACAAAAGTACTCTTCTAAGACACAGGCAAAGACAACTTCAATAGAAGACGATGATGTGAAGATGGAACGGAGGGAGAGTGGCCACAAGCATTCTTCAGCAACTGGAAGAGGCGAGAAAGGAATTTTCCCCTAGACACTCCGGGGAGGGTGCAGCTGTGCCTAACTAAGCCAGATTGTAAGACAATTTTCTCTTCTTTAAATACACCTATTTATGGTAAGTATAACAAACTATCATATTTTGTTTGGTTTTTATTTTGTGTATATGGGTGTTTTGCCTGCATGTGTGTCTGTGAACCACAAGCATGCCTAGTGACTGAAGAGACCAGAAGAAGGTACTGGATCCCCTGGGAATGGAGTTATGGTGTGAGTTACCATGTGGATACTAGGAATGAAACATGGGTCCTCTGGAAGAGCAGCCAATGTCTTTAGTTGCTGAGTCTTTTCTCCAACCCCACAAATTATCATTTTGAGGAGATACCAAGGATGGCTTAGAAGAGAGGTTCTCAACCTGTCGGTCACAAACTCTTTAAGACCATCAGGAAACACAGATATTTACATTAGAATTCATAACAGTAGAAAAATTACAGTTATGAAGTAGCGATGAAAATAATTTTTTGTGGAGTGGGAGGGTGTGTGGAGGGAGTGTGAGGGGAGTGGGAGGATGGGAGGGAGTGGGAATTTGGATTGGTATTTTTTTAAGTAATAAAAAAAATAAAATTGATTTTTATGGGGCTGGAGAGATGGACTCAGAGGTTAAGAGCAATGGCTACTCTTCCAGAGGTCCTGAGTTCAATTCCCAGAAGTTGCTCACGATCATCTATAATGAGATCTGATGCCCTCTTCTAGCGTGCAGACACACATGCAGACAGAATACTGTATACATAACAAATAAACCTTAAAAAAAACAAATGATCAGTACTTCAGCCTCTGCCACAATACCACACTAATAACCCATTACCCACTATTTCCACAATACCGTAACAGATACGTCAGTAGACTCTGAATAATTTCTTGCTTGTTTTCAATGTTCATTCAAGACCTATCTTCTTCAAGTGTACTAACTCTCCCCTTTATGATTTACTACTTTTGGAATAATGTCCCAAATCCTTAGCATGGTCTACAAGACCCCATGCTGCCTCCTGCTTCTCTCTGGCTGCATCTTTGCAGTAACTCACTGGGTTCCACTGCTAACCGCTGAGGAAGCGCTCTTCTCACAGCCTGTACATTTGCTACACCAAAGGCCAGACACTTCCCGGCCCTTCTCCAACCCCAGTGTCTTTGTCTATCTCCCCTAGTCATCCTTCACATTTCAGCTAAGCACAGGAGGGAGCTGCCCTGACCCTAAAGGGGGTAATGTCGCTCGTTGTTGAGTTACACGTACTGTTTGCATCTGTGGAGCACAGGCCCTGCTGACCATACACAAAAGCTCATGGACACCTCCATAACTCAGGCCGGTCACTTTCATAAGTTCCAGTGGGGAGAGATCTAAAAAGTCCTAAAAAGAAAAAAGGTAAAAATAAATATTTAACATACATGTGTAGCAAAGACATAAGAATTAAAAAGTGATTTTCATCAGGTGCTCTTTTAATTTAAAAGATATGCAAATATAAAGAAACTTTCAGTTAGTACTGCTCACCTCTAAACAGAAGTGAAATTTATTGCAGAGAGAAGATACATGCCTCTTTTACATTCTGTCACTGAGCTTCTTCTAGGCCTTAACTCAGAGATGTAAGGCAGTCTTATTACACAGACCAGCTATTACACTATTATACACTATTACACAGTCCAGCTGGCGTGTCTCAGAAGATACACCAAGCAACGTCATGAACAGTAACACCCAGTCCAAGTTTATGTGAGCACTGTGCTTGAGTTTGGGTTCAAATATATGCCCAGAAAGAATCGGGTTAAAAAGTGCTTGTCTTCTAGGCTAAAAGTTAACTCAGAAGCTGGGCAGTGGTGGCACACACCTTTAATCCCAGCACTCAGGAGGCAGAAGCAGGCAGATCTCTGTGAGTTCAAGGCAAGCCTGGTCTACAAGAGCTAGTTCCAGGACAGGCTCCAAAGCTACAGAAAAACCCTGTCTCGAAAAACAAAAACAAACAAACAAAAAAAGTTAACTCAGAGAAAAGTATTTTTCAACTGAGAGAATGGGGATGTTTAATTCATGCTTTTTAAATCATTTATAATATAAACATGATTATTAAATGTATTAACAGAATAAACAAAGATATCCCTGAAATAAACAATCCACAAAAATTATATGTTGTGAAAATGTTTATTAAAGATAAAAATCCCAAAATAAAACTTTGGCCCTAGTCTGCCATCCTAAAAGGGACTTTCTTCATTACTGTACTTAGAGATGTAGCATCTGAAAAAGAAAAAAGCAACTTCTGTTGTATACATTTATCCTAAAAATTTACTCCTAGACTAGGGTATAACTCAGTTGCAGAACATTTAAACCTGGGATTCAATGTCCAACATTAGTAAATCATAATAATAACCCTAATTATTAATGTCTCTCCTAAGAGAAATCGTCCTCACTGTAATTTCATTTAAGTCATATCTCTCAAGTAATAATAAAAAAATTGTAAGTGGAGTAAATTTCTCAGGAACCCAAAATAAATGGCACAGGCATACTTCTTTATGCCATGATCATTCTAATCCTAAAATACAAAAATATCATACTTCAGTAAATAAAATTCCAACTAGAAATGCAACCTAAATCACTTATAAGAAGCAGCATTATTTTGCTTACTTTTGTACATCCAAGTTTTTACTTTTATTTTTGTCTAGGCATGTGGAGGCAAGAACCAACATTGGATGTCTCCTTTAGTCTCTGTTTAAGAACTGACCTCTGGGACAGACGTGGAGGTCACAATGTGGCTAGCTTGGCTACCTGACAAGCCCCAGGGATCCTCTTGTCTCTGCCTTGCTGGAGTCACTTTAGATGTGCCAGGCCCGGCTTTTTATGACAGTGTTGGGAATCTGAGCTCAGGTCCTCACATTTACACAGCAAGGACTTTACTGACTCTGCCACTTCCCCATCCCCTACAACCCTAAATCCTTATAACCCAAGTCTAACAATTAAGGTTAACTTAAAATTAATTTGCACATAAAATGTATCTAAAAACACATAATTACCTGGCAATTAACAATCTGATGTCTGCTCAAACGGTCACACAGCTCTTGTGAGAAACCCACTCGTCTTAGTTTCTTGCTGCTCATATTTCTAGATCTCCCAAAGAAGAATCTTGAAAAACATCAGAATATGTAGACAGAGTATACAAAATGCCCCAGAAAATAAAACGTCCGTTAGACTTCTATATGGACAAAACAAACCATGGAAAAGTTGCTAATAAAAGTAGGACAGAGACACTTGCTTATTGACCATGTCTACAGAGAAAGAAGGCAACCTCAGAAGACACATTCCACACAGTTCTTGGATATTGCGTGACTTTAACAGTACTTTATGTTTACATTGTAGACTAGTTTGCTTTTTGCTGCTGGGATAAAATGCTGACCAAAAGCAACTTGGGAAGAAAGGGTTTATTTGGCTTACAAATTACATTCCATTGTCAAGGAAAGCCAAGGCAGCAACTCCAGGCAAGAGCTTGAAGTAGAAACACAAGTGGAAACCACAGAAGAATGCTGCTTACTGCCTTGCTTTCCCTGCTCGCTCACTAGGCATTCTAGGTCAGGAGTAGGGCCACTCACAAGTACCCTACTCCTGAGCCCTCCCCTATTAACTACAATAAAGAAAATGTCCCCACAGATAATGCCCACAGGCCCATCTGCTGGAGGCAACTCCTCAACTGAGGCTCCCTCTTCTCAGGAGTGTCAAGCTGACTACCAAGACTAGCTATCACCTAGAACAATATTAAGATATTGAGCATTATTCACAAATTTTATTTGGTTATGTAATCTTCAAGATGCATTTCCAAATAGCAACTCCGCACTGAATTGTAACTATAAATAGACAACTACTACATACCAGCCATGCTCCAAACTTTATGTTTAATATTCTCAACAGATTATAATGAAAGTAGCTTTTTTAACTTATGAGAAAGCTACTCTGCAAATGTCATATATCCCACTGTTATCAGAAAAAAATTTAAACAGTAGATTTAGAATTCCATCCAGGCAATTTGACACTGAGACCTATCCTCTGAACCATTTTAGGAACAAAAATCTTATTTACCCCTTGCTTTTTCTAAGAGTCAGAACAAATCTCAATCAAATGAGACTTTACTAGTGTAAGTGTTAGCAATAAACATATTCATTATTGTACTAGCTGCTTACTGTCCCATATAGAATTAAATTCTGTTCTTCTTCTACCTTGCTAAATGAGACTCATGAAATATTAGTCTTTGGGCAGTTAGAACTGTTGTAATCTCTGTAATAATGCATGCAAAGAAAAGGCTATGGATCTCACTGATACGGCAAAGTATCTTCCAGAAATAATAGAATAAGAACTCATTATTCCATGGAATGAAGCAACAACAATCAAACTATATAGCAAAGAACAAACCTATAAACAAGAATTAAGGTATCTGCTACCATCACTTAGTCCGATTCTGTTTAATACTTAAATTATCTGAATTACATGAAGTCCCCTGCTCTTTCTCTCCCTCCATCCCCCATTCCCTACTTTCCTCTCCCCCCCCCACAAAAACAAAACACATTCTTTATTTATCTCAAGGGGGATTTGTTAGGGCTGATTTGTTTCTTTAAGAGAAAAGGGAACGCTTTCCTGCTATTCTGTTCTTACTACATTTCAGATAAGGTTCTCTAGGCAATAACATCACTTAATGAGTAAGTTCACGCCATCAAACAACAAAAACAAAAAAAACACTTGTAACCCAAAATTACAAAGACCTTAGCAATAACCATTCTATTTAATAGTACCACTCCCATCACTTGCCCACACTACTGCTTATGGCTTCGAGTTGTTCTTTACTCTACCAAATATAATATAAATTCTCTAAATATTATATTCTCCATTTGTTTGTTTCTTTCACCAATATTTCTGAAGCACTCTGCTGAGCTCAAGGGTGTAAAACTCATTGTAAGTTGTTCGTACTCACAACTGAAAGATGGAGAGATATACACTCAAATAACCATAACTATATAACAAGTGTAGCTGTAGCTGCTGAAGAAACAGATGGGGAGAAGTCTCAAAATGGCCTGAAAAAAAAAAATAGGATGAATGTCACAATCCTACTACAAGGAGCCTCCTTAAGTAGGTGTCATGGCTTAAAATGTTTTGTGAGACTATCAGACCACATGACAACTTCCAAACTTTTAGAATCACATTTTAAAAAAACAAAAAAAAAAACACCTTGAAAAGGGGGATCCCTTATTTAGCTCTCACTCAAATACCAGATTGGAGGCTCAATCAGATTTCGCAGAGCACTGTTTTCCTCGTGTGTAAAATAAGGGCAATTCTAGTTTCTACTCTAGAGCTGCTACATTAATGCTCAACGTAGGCAATCATCATAGACAAACATGGGATTCTTCCCGCATGACCATCCACAAGGTTAGGTTATGTTAGGTTCCTCAAGCACATGTCTTCCATTTCTACACGCAAAGCCTTCGATAATCAGTCCCTTCCTTTCCACGAGTACTACCACACTTAGCACACATACCTTCCTTAATCTTATCTGTGCGATTTTATAGCTTATGTCTTTCTTTCTTCCTGCGGCGCGTGTGTGTGCCTGTCTCTCTGTCTGTCTGTCTGTCTGTATGTATGTATGTATGTATGAAGAGATGGCAACACAGGCCCGGTTTATGTTAGGCGCTCAATAAAAACAATGAAGTAACAAAAACAGCTGTTTTGTGGGGTTTGTGGGGATTAATTTATTTAATGGGCCCTTAATACTCGCCAGACACTAATTTTAAATGCTTCGGGTGTTTTTACTTCATCTTACACATAAGACTACTCTGAGGCACTAAACAGAGAAACGTGCAAACTAGCCAAGGATGGAGCACGCATTCTAATCCAGAGATCTGACTCCAGATTCCTCGCTCTTCGACGTAAGTGTGACAGTCCCTAAATTTGCCCAGATCCCTAGCTGCTCCGAAGAGGAGGGAGAGGCATCAAGAGGTAGAAAACCTCCTGCTGAACGCCCTAATAAAGCAGGGCAGCTTCCAAGCATCACCCACCCCAAAGAAAGTCGGAAGCCCCAGGCCCCAAGCTGGGGTTCCAGGGACGAGCCCCACGGGAAGCAGAGGGCGTGCCCGGCACCCAGGACTATCCGCCACCCCGGTATCAACATCCACAGACCCGGAGAAAGGTACGAGATAAGCACACCCACTTGCCCACAACTGCCCCCCTCAGAAAACTCCAGTACCAGGTCAGCAGCATCGAACTTTCAAATTTTCCCCCACCCTCACACAATTACCCGCGAAAAGCGCCCACAGCAACAACTGGAGTTCTGGTTGGTCGGTACTCTGGAAACTCACCCAATCAAAAGCAGACAAAAGTTTGGGTTGGTCCCGCTGCATTCTGGGAATTGTAGTTCAAACTCGCAGGTGCTCGTCAAACTCGAGGGGGAAGAACCTGTCAAGGCGAGTGTGAAGCATGAAAAACCTTGTCTGGAAGTTCTTTTCCCTAGTGAATCGCATTTTTAAGTTACTTCCTGGGCCAGAGAAGCGTCTTTTGAGGGTTGAGGAGTTGGAGAAAGTATGGTCTATCTGCCTATTCCAATTCTGGAAAGAGAGCTAGCTTAGTGTTTGTTTTATTTTGCACTTTCACCAAACTTGAATGGTGAAAATGAAGCTAACTAAAGGTTCTCAAACTAAAATATGTGTTTAAAAAAAAGAGTGTAGTTGAAAAATGAAATAAAGGAAATCAAGTAAGTTTAATTGTAAAGCAGCTACGGTAAGAAAAATAAAATTAAGAACTGGCTTGATTACTGAATTTGTGCAAAAGTCTTTGCTCACTCTTTGCTTTCGGTTGCGCAACTCCTCTGTGTCGACCTCGGTCCTCAGATTTACATATAGTTATGTATTGTAATATATAAGTATATATTTATGTATAAATGAACATATATTCCAAGTAGAATAATGATGCAGGAGAATCCAGGACTCCTGTGGACATCCCCAGCGTCGGTCACTGGTTGGCAGTGAGACAGTGGCGGGAGTGGAGCTGTGGAACACAGACAGCTTTTTCTGACGTCAACTCCCCCGAAATACGTAACTGTAAAGAAGAGCGGAGGGTCCTCAGCCCAGTAGCTCGTGAATTTAACTCTTCACCCTAGCGATCGGGTGTCACGTGACTCAAATAAATCTGGTACTTGATTTGCATCTTCCTTCTTCTAAGCCAATAAGAGTGGCGCTCTCATTCGTCATCCCAACCCCTTTCCACCATTCTTCGCAATGGGATCTGTCACCTGACTGGGCTCAAACATGGCTGCCCTGGAAGCTAAAATGCTTTTGACTCCCGGAGCAGGTGAGTGTAAAGCGCAGGGAAGACGGCAAGGGTGCTGTCTCCGACCCCGCTAGGGGGAGCATCCCTGTCCCCCAGCCTTCCGGCTCTCCCGTTCAGTCCCAGATTGATCTGATCTTTAATCCTCTGCCTTAACAGGAGGCTGAAACCAAAGGAGTTTAGTGTCATCCTAACCGAGACACCCACCTCGAGATTTGTAATCCTATTAGCAAAATGTTCAGGAGCGAATGCGGAAGTAAATTTATGTGTCTGCGCTCCAGGCTAACACAAATATTAAGATTATTAGATATGGGATCTGCGTTAGGAGATGGGAACCACCCTTTAGAGAAAGAGGCGGTTCTCGAAAGGAGATAGTAACAGGTCAAATTAAACCCAAAACAATAATTAGAAAAGTAAATTCTGCCTTTTCTTTTCGGGCTAGTAGCTGGTGGTTTATCTAAACAGTTTCGTTTCTTCTCATCTGGTGTGTTGTTTCTAGGAGGTACTCCTCGAATGAGAAAATTGAGAATGTATTCGGCGTAACACCTCTCTTTCTATCTCCCTGCACTCTGTGCTGGGAAAATGAGTTACCCGTTTGGGAAAGAGGAAACCGCTACCGAGGAGCAACTTTTTGAATTTTTCTGTGAGTGCCTGCGGAGGGGCGACTGGGAGTTGGCACAAGCATGTGTACCTCGGCTACACAAGGGACAAGGGGATATCCCCAAAAAGGTGGAAGACATCCTACAGGCGCTGGTGCAGTGTCCCGTTCTGCTCAGGTAAGCGATCTCCCTCTTTTCCGGGATCTCAGGAAGACACACGGTTCAGTATTTGGACTCTGGTCTTAATGCCCCCAGTCCACTATTTCTTAAAAAGTTAGCAGAAGTTGAGCACGTTTCAATGTTCTGATATTTTATCTGTGTAATGTATTTTGTGTTTAAATATACTCCACTGGCCTTGGATTACCCTCAGGAGCTGAGTTTAAGCCTGGCTACCAAAAGGTTCCTGAAATCATTCCTTGTTTATTATCGATAAAAGATGGTGTAACTGCATCTTGTCACTCAAAGACCAACCTACCCTCTCCTCTTGTTCATAAGATTAATGGTGTTGTGGCTTTAACAAAGGACTGAACTGCATTAACTTAAAACTTCACATTTTGAAATAATCGTAGATCCACAAAAAGTTGAGAAATAATAGAGTCCAGGGTACCCCTTTTTCCAGCTCCCCAGCTGTGACATCTCATCCAGCTGTTGTTAGACCTCAAAACTAGGAAACTGACCTTAGTGCATGGACTACAATAGAGATCTTACTTGATTTTCACCATTTTTAACTCTATATTTGCTTTTTACTTGTAATTCTATGAGGTTTTACCCGTGTGAGGGTTGACCTAACCCCACTGTAATAAAGATAAAGACGTCCTGCTTCACGGCACATGAATTCTCTCATCCTTCCTATTATCCTGTATAGCTACACTATGACCCCTTCTTGCCTCTTGGTAACCAAGGTCTTCATCCTAGATCTTTAACTAGCAGTGCTATGAACTAGTGTCATGGGAGCCAAATGGACTGTTTTGTTCTGTCTCTTTAACTGTTCTGTTGTAAGCCTGTGGAATTATTGGATTAGCACATAAAGGCCAGAGAAACAAATCACTCTTATGTTGTTTTTTTCCCCCCTTAAATTTGGGTTCTAGGTTGGTACTGCCTAATCTAATGACTTCAAAGTAAGGCTTATGAACTCCTCTAACTATATAGTAAAAATTAATTTCTATGTATTCCCTTTATTCTTTTGTCTTTGATTCACTTTTGGTATTCAAAAGTACACTTAGGGGCTGGGTGTGGTATTTTAACACATGTGTCTCAACTGACACAGGAGGATTGCTGTAAGTTCAAAATCAGCCTAAATGGTACAGTATGAAACCCTGTCTCAAAACAGTGAGTGACAGTGTGTGTCTATGTATGTGTGTTTGTCTGTATACATACATATGCATAGACATATACACATATATTTCAAATGGACGGTGATTTTCTCTGGAAGTATTCCTAAAAATAAAACTAAGTCAGGTATGGTGAGGCTGTTTCTGTAGCTGCAGACACTCTGGAGCCCAGGAGTTCCGGCCTAACAGTACTGCAGCTGGGAAGATACAACACAATTAGATAAGGTAGTACAGGCACCAGTGGAAGCTGAAAGTTACGTGGTTCTGTATGGTTCAACTGTTACTCGGAATTGAGAATTTCTCATTAGGACTTGCTTGTTCAGATTTAAAATGAACTGAACTGAAAACTGATATATAAACTCGAATCACAAAAGAGAAAGGGTCAGTTGAAACTCCTGTTTTGCTAAATCTTTCTTTTCTTTTTCAGATGCGGACCAGGTATCAACCCTCAGAGATTAGCCTGGCTCTGGCTTCTCATACTGGAACAATGGGTGACCCAAGAAAAAGTATGTGGGCTTACATTTAATTTTTTCCCCCGAAACCAGGACTGAGAAGAACTTAGAAGTTAGGAGATTTTCCATCCGTCAGCTACTTCCCTTTTTTTGTGGTTGGTTGTAGTCTTTCTCAGGGTTGACTGTGGAAATGATTTGCTTGTTAATTTACCCTCGTACCTTAACATATAATATCATTAGGAGTGATACTAGTTTGTTAAATATTTCTAGAAGACTTGCTCTTGAAGAGAACTTTGTAGAGTTTAGTGACTATGCCAAGATGGGTGGGGTGTGGTGGTAAAGACTGTAATCCCAGCTACTCAAGAAGCTGACACGTGAAGATTGTTTGAGTCCAGGAGTTCAGTGCTGGCCTAGGCAGCATAATGAGACTCTGTCACACATGCACGCGCGCACACACACACACGTGCACACACACACACAGAGAATCTTTGACTCAAGAGAAATGACTCCAGCAAAGCCAGAGATCTGACCACCTCAACCCTTGTTCATTTTCCATGCCAACATTATATTAGCCTCTTTTTACTTCAAAGTAAAAAATTCAGTTTTTAAATATCCATCATTTTTTTCTTACATTTATTGCTTTCTCTCACCAGAATTAATTGTTTGTTTAGTTCCATTTTTTGCACTTTTATCCTTCCTTTAACTGTGCCAAAAAATCCTGGCCTAAAGGTATCTTTTTTTTTGTTACTGTGTTTCAAGACAGGATTTCTCTGTGTAGCCCTAACTGTCCTGGAGCTTACTCTGTAGACCAGGCTGACCTCAAACGCCCAAAGATCCACCTACCTCTGTCTCCCTAGTGATGGGATCAAAGGTGTGTGCCAGCACCACCAGGCTTAAATGTATCTTTTAGGCAGACTTAGAGGGTTGTCTAGCAAAGAGAACTTGTAGAAAGACTAGCAGAAAGAGCAAGTAAAAGAAGCAAAATTGTAAAATAATGAAACCTAGGAAAAATAAGAGTCAGCGCTAAAGAGAGAAAAAGACAACAATAATGAGATAAAGTAGAAAAGAAAGAAAGAAGATTCCCTAGCATCTTGGAAGGGAGGGGGACAGAGGGGCTTTGTTACTGAGTAAGGATCTCCCTATTACAAACACCAAGTCTGTTGAACTAACTGACCTTTCCCCTTGAGGAGAAGAGGTCGGCTTGCTGACTTGTGACCTCATTGACTGATGGCTCAGAGGTTAAGAGCACTGACTGCTTATTCTCTGGAGAGTTGCTTAACAACATCAGGTGGTGGATTTCACTTCCCCAGCTCCTCAGCCTAGATGGGGAGGGAATTGTTCTTGTTTTGGCCAATACCAAACTTCATGTAGTCCTTAAAGCTCCGGTGATCCACTTCGTTCAACGGTTGTAGTAGTAGTTTTGTTGTTTGGAGAACTATAAACTGTTTTTTAAGGACCAGGACTTCAGGTGCACTTTGGAGTGCTACAGAGCCAGTTGTGCCTTGGTGCTTGGAAACACACAGCTGCTTACAGTTGCAGGCTCCCGCTGCCTGCCAAGAGCTGCCGTTTAATTATGAGGCGAAGCAGCGGTGCTGTTTTTCTATCCTTCATTCACTCTTATCTCCTGTCTGTTTATCTTGCCCTGGTTTAGGCCTACATGTGTAAGCATGTGTGTAAAGGGTTAGCTGCAGAGATGTTTGCTGATAAGCTGCTACTACCAGAGGAAAGCTAGCAATAACCCTCATGTCCGTAATACAGGCCTGGCTAATAAATGGAAGCATATCTCCATGCAGTGCATGACGCCACTATTCAAAATTATATGGCCAATGAGTTTTCAGTGTCATTTCAGTGGCACATGCCTTTAACCCAGCACTTAGGAGGCAGAGGCAGGTGGATCTCTGTGAGTTTGAGGCCAGCCTAGTCTACAAAGTAAGTTCCAGGACTTCCAGAACTGTTACACAGAGAAACACTGTAAAATAAAAAAAAAAAAAAAAACACTACATAAACCACTTCATGCTACAGGTTTCTTTAATTTGGAAATGAAATACAATACCCCGTGCCAGGCGTGTATACCTTTGTTTTTTTCAATAACTGGTATACAAAGGATGGTGAATACCAGAAGCATGGTTGGATTAAAAGGATTATGAGGGTGTGCCCTCCAAGAGTTTCCTGTAGGTGTTTTACACACAGCAATAAAAACTTGAGTGATTTTTCCAAAAGAGGGAGTCAGGCATGGTATCCATCGCTTCCCAGCAAGAGGGAAACAGGGGCAAGGGGACCCAGAGTGCAAGACCAGTGTGGGCTACATAGCAAGACCGTGTCTCA